TTTTTTTTTTTTTTTTTTGCGGTACGCGGGCCTCTCACTGTCGTGGCCTCTCCCATTGCGGAGCACAGGCTCCGGACGCGCAGGCTCCGCGGCCGTGGCTCACAGGCCCAGCCGCTCCGCGGCATGTGGGATCCTCCTGGACCAGGGCAGGAACCCGTGTCCCCTGCATCGGCAGGCGGACTTTCAACCACTGCGCCACCAGGGAATCCCCATAAATATTTTTAATGGGAGCCAGACAAAGATGAGCTGTGCAAAGGCAAACAGATTCTTGGGAGCATGAAAACCTGTTGATTTCTTGAAATGTGGCCTCTACGTTTCCCTGGTTTCGTAGAAACCCACAGACTTGGCGAGCAAAGTCAGCTTCTGCTTGGGTAGAAAGGAGGCAGACTTGGTCAGTAGCTACAAGGAGATGGGGGAGGGAAGGGGACGGGTTGGTTCAGAGCACACCCATTTCACGTGGCAAAAGACTTGGACAGCAGAGGCCTTCCGAATGGCCACTAACCCAATCAGGATGCTCAATATCATTCGTTGTTAGGGAAATGCAGATTAAAACCACCATTAGATGCCACCGCCCATCCACCAGAATGGCTAAAATGAAAAGGATTGACAGTATCAAACGTTGACCAGGATGGGAAGCAACTGAAACTGTAATCTGTTGCTGGTGTGAGTGTAAAATGGTTCAACCTGCACGTACGTTATGACCTAGCAATCCCACTCCTAGATAAATACCCAGGAGAAATGAGCGCATATGTCCACAAAAAGACATGTACACAAGTGTTCATGGCATTCTTCATGATAACCAAAAAGAGGAAATAACCTAAATGCCCAACAACAAGCAAAGGATACGTTGTGTGTTATTCACATGATGGACTACTATACAGCCCTGAAAAATCAAATGACTGATGTGTGCAGCAACATGGATGAACCTCACAGATATTCAGCTGAGTGAGAGAAGCCAGACATAAAATAATATGTACTCTTTGAATCCATTTATAGGAAGCTCAAGTTCAGGAAAAACTAATTGATGTTTATAAAAGTCAGAATGGAGTTACCTTGGCTACCCCTGGAGAGAGGGGACCCTAAAGGAGTCCTTGGAGGGGCTGGAAATGTTCTATATCTTGATGTGAACCATCATTGGGCTGTTGGACACATAATATAAATGCACTTTTTGTGTGGAAAAAAAAATTTTTAAACTATGCAGAGTCTCTCCTGTGTGACTGTCTTCAGGTGGTTTATCCCCCATCTACTGGGGGATACAGAATGATCGCTGTCATCCAGTGACATGGGATGGGTTGTCAGGTTGGCGCTAAGAAGAGGAGGCCCAGGGCTCTGACTGATACCCTCGCAGGTATTGGTCCAAGTGGAAATGAGCAAACTTAGCTGGATTCCAAGGTCCCTGGGCCATTTTTCAGGCAAACCCATCTCCAGGGGCGTCGTTCTCGAAACCTTGAAGGGCCGCCACGTGGGAGGAACAAAGCAACAGGGCGACACTTTGTCACACTCCTGGGTGTCTGTCTTGCCTCCTGTCCACACAGAGGCAGAGGCTGATCAACTCGGCAAACGGTGTGAGCAGCAAGCCACTTCAGAGCGGGAGACACGAGAGCACTGAGAACGGGAACGTTCCTGTGGAAACCCCTGCAGAGCTGCAACAGGAGCGGGAGCAGCCGCCGCCACCCCAGGAGCCAGAGCTGGTCGAGGCCGCTTTCCTGTCCCCCTTCTCCATGCCCGGTGAGTTCGGGGGCTGGGGTGGGGCTCCCGGGCTACACTGCTGGGGGTTCCGAGGGTCCAACCCCGGGTCTTCAGGATGGACAGCTGGACCCATGAGGGCGGGGGAGGCTGGTGGAAAGGGTGGGCATTAAGTCACTCGGCGAACACCTCCTAAGTGCTGAACTGTGGGTTAGAGCTGCACTGGGATGCAGGCACTGCCCAGGGTTGGGGAGCCTGTGTGACAGACGGTCGGCCAGATGGAGACTTGGGAAGTGCCAGTAACCCCTAGTGACTGCACTCAAATGCCCAGGGCATCGAGGCTTTCTCATGCAGTAAGAAAAACAGCCACGTATGTTATTTTTATGGGCACGCTCAGGCTCTCCAACCCTTCCAGCATGGGCAGGCTGTTTTGCCCATGCGTTGTATATTTGCTGGGACAGGATATTCTAAGGCCATAAGTGACCTTTAGACAGTTACGCCTTATCTATTTGATGACATCTCCTACCTGTAAATAAGTCAGAACAGGCGTGACTCTGCCCCCAGCCCTGAGTGTCCTCCCATCTCATTGGGCGGGCCCAGTGTCATCTGACTGCCAGCTCCGTGCTGACCTCACCTCTGCTGCATCCACACTGGCCTCCTTACTGTCCTTCCCAGAACGTAGCAGATGTGCTCCTGCCCCAGGACCTTTGCACTTGCCCTTTGCTGGAATGCACTTTCCCCAGTTATATCTATATGGCTCCTTTCCTCACCTTCTTCGGGTCTCTGCATAAATGTCACCTGCTCGGTGTGGCCTTCCCTGACCACCCTAATTTAAGTATTTTATATATTTGGTTACCTTGTGTCTCCCCGGCTGAAATATCAGCTCCGTGCTGGCCGAAATCTTTGTCTATTTCATTCACTGTATCCCCAGTGCCCAAGCCCGACACATAGTAGGTGCTTAGTAGATATCCGTCAAATGAATGAATTCAGGAGTTCGTGTGCGAGCGGGTCCCCAGACACACCCAGTCTGTCTTCATCTTTAACCAAACTCCTCTGCAGTCCACGAAGGGAAATGAAGGCCTGAACGCTTTGGCCTCATCTCGGAGGTTTTTTTCTTGGTGTCCTGCCATCCTGAGAGGCAGTAGAATTCCAAATTTTCAAGTCCAGAACTTGATGATTTTCTGAAAAGAATTCTATGTTTTTAACATCAGGCTTACAGACCGCACCTGATTTGGGACATGGCTTGGGGGGTAGGGGGGAGAGGCTGCCCCAGCCCCTCGTCCCCATCTTTATGGGGACACTCCTGCTTCCCAAATAGATGGTGTGGGCCCTCCTGGACTGGGATACTCTGCCACCACGCTTCATCTGGAAAATATAGGTTCTATTTGCGTCACAGGGCTTCCTCGGGATTTCTGGATTAGTCTCCAGAGCGTGCTGAGCACAGCTACCCGGGGGCTCTTCTCCAAATTCAGGGCCTGGTTCCCAAACCCAGATAGTCCAAGGGCTGGAACAGGGCCTGGGAATCCACATTTTCAAGCCTTCTCAAGGGGATTCCTGGGGCCTAGGCCAGGTTAGGAGTTGCTGCTCCTGGTCAGCACCTCCCAGCCTTCTTTCACATTAAGGGAAGACCCAGAAAGTGGAATGTATTTCCTCCACTGAGGTCACAGAGGGGCCCAGCCCAGGGGTTGGGTCCTCCCCAGGGCCCCCTCTGCTGACCAGAAGGCTGAGGGATCTGTATCTCAGCCTGCCTCTAAGACATCCCTGGCGCATCGGCCTACCTTCCAGATCACTCTGTGGGAGCAAAGGTCATGCTCAGCCAGCTAGTCTGGTGGGCTAAAGGTCGAACTGTCTTTGGGTGGGAGCTTGGCCCCTGGGGCTGGGGCTGGGACACTGACGGAGGGAGGGTTGGTCTCCAGATCCTGGAAACCTGTATCAGATCATCCGTTTAGATATGCAGGAAAAAGAAGCTTTCTGTGGGGCAGAATTCTGGGAGGGAGAGCTGTGTCCACCCAGAGGAGAGCCTGCTCCAGGGCTGATGGACCGGGACGGGCCTGCCCCACCTAGCGTTTCTTACTTCCCCTGGGTACTGCGCATAGCCTCGAGCCGTCACATCACCAGCCAAGTCCACGTGGGGCTGAGAACAGGGGCTGTAATCACCAGTGGGGTTTCAGTTCCTCAGGACCTGGACGCCAGATGCCAAGGAGGCCTGGAGTATGGCCACAGAGAGGGAGATGCATCCGTTGTCCAGGAAACAGCCTACCTTGCTGGGGAGTTGGACTGAGAAGGGGCTACTATTCGGGGTGTTCTGTTCTCCAGCCCCAGGAGGCAGATGCAATCCCCATCTTACAGACATGCGGCCCGATGGGGCCACCGTCACCACCACCCTGTACTGCCGGTTCATCTGGATCCTGGTCCTGATGCTGCTCATCGACCAGGGCTCTGCAGGAAACCAGGGAAGGGACGTGCCCGTTTTGGTAGCTGCTATCCTATAAAGTGAGGCAGCCCCATGTAAGGGCAACTCATCTTTCCATTTCCTTGAAAACTTGAGTTTGGCAGGACTTTGTGGAGTGGCCCCAGAGCCAACTACCTCCTCCCCTTGTCCTGCTGCCAGGATCTGATGCTCCTTAGAGAAGTGGCTTATGGGAAATCGGGTCTAGCTCCCTGCAGGGACTCTGGGCAGGTCACCTCCCGGGGCGGGCGGCGGTGCTTATAATGCTCTCTTGCAAAGGCCAGGACCAGGTCCCTGCCCCCATGGGCCCTTCCCCCAGGGAGCTCTGCCCTTCCTGGTGGGCAGGGGCTTCCTGTTGAAGTTGGTTCCACGTTCCTCTTCAAGCCAGGGGCTCCAGGACATTCCCCTGGGCCGGCCCGCAGCAGAGCCAAGTGCTGTGAGCTTCCGCCCAGCGCTTGCCTCTCCTCGCCCTCAGGAATGGGCCGGGGCTTCCTGTGTCCCTGCGGAAAGCTCCCTTTGTGCCCCTGCGGAAGTGTTTCCAGGTGTTGCCCTGGGAAACCACAAGTCAGTTCCTCTCCACCTCCTCCCCCCTCAACGTGAGGAGCATGGGTGGGAACAGTCGTGTGGCTGCCGCCCAGTGTGTATGACAGCCGAGGGAAATCGAGGCTGGTGGGGACAGAGGCTTACAGGAATTTAGAGCCAGTGGATGGGACACAGCACTGTGAGAAATTCCGAGTATCCAGCCCTCCGTCCACACACTCGCCCTCCTCATCTTTTCCGCTCATCTCCGGTTGTGGCATCACAATCATCTGGGGCTGTAGGGAGGCCCTGAGGGGCTTTCGGGGTGGATGGAGCTCGTGTTCTCCTAAACTGGACCCTAGGAAGGAAGCGTGGGACCAGGGAAGGGGTAAGGGGGTGGGACACTGGGAAGAGAGCAGAATCTGTCCCTCTGGTGAGCTTGGAACCAGCGTGGCTGCAGCTGTCAAGGAGTGACTCCAGGCCATCTGGTGTGCAGCTCTTCTGCAGGGTCGGGGACAGGCTGGGAGGCGGGCTCTGGAGTCCAGAAGTCCTGGGTTCGAATCTCGGTTCTACCACTCACCAGCGCTCTGGCCCTGAGCAAGCTGCTTCACCTCCTAAACCTCAGTTCCTCATCCACAAAATGGGCCGATGGCATTTGGGTCTCTGTAAATAAGATAAGTAAGTAAGATAGATCTTTAGACACTGCCTCTGTGCAGTGTGACACATGGGTGCTCAGTAAATGTTCATTTGGATCACAGTGTGCTTTAATCTCATGGTTTCTATTATACCCAGCTTCGCATGCCCTCCCCTGCTTGGACCATAAGCAATGTTCTAGAAAGGTCACGGATGCCAGAATCCCTGGAGGCCTGGTGCTGTGCTCATCCCCTATGTGCCTCCTATGTGCTGGGCCCTGGGTTTCAGGCACTTTGCAGACAAGAGGATTTTTTTTTTTAAATAGATTTATTTATTTATTCATTTATTTAGTTTCTGGCTGCATTAGGTCTTCGCTGCTGCACGCGGGTTTTCTCTAGTTGCTGAGAGCAGGAGCTACTCTTCATTGCGGTGCGCAGGCTTCTCATTGCGGTGGCTTCTCTTGTTGCGGAGCACGGGCTCTAGGCGTGTGGACTCCAGCAGTTGTGGCACGTGGGCTCAGTAGTTGTGGCTCGCGGGCTCTAGAGTGCAGCCTCAGTAGTTGTGGCGCACGGACTTAGTTGCTCCACGCCACGTAGGATCTTCCCGGACCAGGGCTCGAACCCGTGTCCCCTGCACTGGCAGGCGGATTCTTAACCACTGTGCCACCAGGGAAGCCCCAAGAGGATTGTTTTAGTCAGTAAATATTTGGATACCAGACTGTTGTGGGCCTTGGGGATCCAGGTGGGAACAGGACAGCCATGGAGCCTGCCCTCTGGGAACTTCCAGGCATGCAGGGTAAATCTGAGCAAATAATTGCATGATACACTTTGTGTAGCATCTCCTGCCCTCACCACACAGCTGAAGGGTAGGTGAGGTGGAAACGCCAGCCACGGCCCCCCGGGCTCTGCCCACCCACATGAGGCGTCGCTGGGCTTGTGGACCAGAGCCGGGGGCACCCAGCCCCAGCCTGCATCTGGTGCCCACCCGGTCTGATGCTGGATTTATATCGACACCGGGCGCAGCCATGCTGTTCCCACTCTGAGCCACAGAGGCTGGTAATCGGGCCTCCTGGGCCAGCTGTTGGTTGTGGGAGAGGAAAAGGAGTAGGAGCTCTTCCTCCCGTGGAAACTGTGGGCTGCGGCCCAGGCACTACCCTGCAGTGGCCGGCTGGTGACCCCAGAGCCCCAGCCCGGCTGGGGAAAGCCCTTAGTACAGGCTGTTTGTGGCTGGCGTACAGTCTGAGACGTCCTCCTGCCCTGTGGGCCACACCCTTTCCCTCCAACTGGACTCCTCCTGCCCCCATAAGGGTAAAGAAATCACATCTTGTGTTCTGGGCTGCTGGCGCTTGTGTCCACCATTATTATAGTGACCACATCTAATTGGGGACTTGCTGTATGTCCGGCATTGAGTGAAAAATAGGGAATTCTTACAGGGCTCTTAT